TTAGTTTTTTTTTTTTTTTTTTTTTTTTTTGTTTATATTTTATTTATTTATTTATATTTTTTATTATTTAGATTTTATTTGACAATTTTTTTGAATATATTGTTTAATTTTTTTACGTGTTTGTTTATATTTTCTTTTTGATGTCTTTTTGAATATTTTTTTTCAAGATTTTTTTTTTTTGTAAAAAATGTAAAAATGTTTTTCAAATGTGGATATTATTAATATAGATTAGGTATAAATTATTTTTTAATATGATTAATAGATAGGTTAACCGAAATTCAAAAATGGGTTTCAAGTTATATGATGGCTAATTGGAAACCATATAACTCGAAGACGAACAAAATTTATAAAAATTAAAAAAAATGAACTAGAAAACATTGACACATGTGTTTGCGTTATATGAATTCTGATTAGCATTTACTATTCAAAACAAAATGTTAAAAAAATTGAACTCGAAACCATTGACACTTGTTTTGAATTCCGGTTAGCCTATACAATAACCATATTAAAATATATTATTAACACATATTAGAGATAAAATTATTTATTTTAATAGGGTTATTGTATAAATTCGAAACGAGTGTCAACGGTTTCGAGTTCAATTATTTAGTTTTAGAAAAACTTTAACATTTTGTTCCAAATGGCAAATGCTAATCGGAAATCCTATAACTAAAACACATGTGTCAATGTTTTCGAGTTCATTTTTTATTTTAAAAATTTTTGTTCATTTTTTCGAGTTATATGCTTTCCAATTAGCAATTGTATAACTTGAAACCCGTTTTCGAATTTCGGTTAGTCTATTTATAAATCCTATTAAAAAAAGATAATTTTATAACTAATCTATGTTAATGTGACATTCCTAAAATCACGGCCAGAAAAGACCGATTTTGTTTATGCTTTATAAAAATCAGAGTACTTCATTTTATAAAAAGGTTGCGGAATTTGTTCCCAGAAAAACATGGTAAATACGTTATTAAAACATTTTCGAAGAAACGTATTTATTTCATTTTAAAACGTTTGGGATGTCATCGTTAATACAGGAACATAAGCATAAACAGAACTTACAATTATTCACACTAGTGGTCTACATCTCTTTAAATCTCTCAGTGTAATGTCACTTCATATCAACACCTGTGATACAAATAAACTGAGTGGGTCAGGTTGGGAAACCTGGTGAGCACATAGGGATTTCAATCCCACAATGTTATACCATATATATAGTTTAAAATTCACAAAATATACAATTTCACCATACATATATATAAACAACTCTTATCCCACCCCGTCGATCCTCGCAACGAGGCTATCCATACTCTCGGACCTAAGATTAATCGTTTTACCTACTCCATACTCTCGGATCAGAAATGAACGAATTTACCAAATCCATACTCTCGGACTAGGGACGAATGACTAATCCATACTCTCGGATTCAGTGGCGGAGCCAGGGTTAAAGTGAAGGGGTATCCCAATTTTTTTAAGGTAACCTATTTTTTCCGGTGTCGACTCGTGACTCGACTTATATATATATATATATATATATATATATATATATATATATATATATATATATATATATATATATTACATTTTACTAAGAGATATATATAATTAAACATTAATATATAATTTAAAACTTTTAGGTTATATAATAAAAAAGACTAAATCTTTGTGTTTTGGAAGTAATACAACACACAACTATGATTTTCTCTTTGATTAATTTTTAATATATATAACCTATAAAACAACGCCTAAAACTAAAGCCTAGCCCACTAACATTGGTTTACCCTAAATCTAAATGGTCAATCCCCGTCTCTCATGCCGTCACTATCGTTACACTCACTCATCCTTCGTATCTGCATTCTATTGCCGGATTGAAGATGAAGTTATCATGCAACCACCAAACCTGCAAATACTACTCTCTAAATGGAAGACGAGGCAGTTGGAGAAGGCATAACACATTCATTATCGTTCATGTGCATCTCCTTCTCATGGCAATCACTCTCTGTTTCCGTTCTCTTCTGGCTCATTTGACTCACAAGTTGGATCGAATCATACGGTCGGCAACATAAAACGAAATTTTCCGGAAAAAATTGCACTATTGAAATTTTTTTGAGAGGTATCCCAGGCTACCCCGAGCTCTACATTGGATCCGCCCCTGCTCGGATTAAAGATGAATGATTATGCCTAATCCATACTCTCGGACTAGGGACAATAGCTAATCCATACTCTCGGATTAACGACAAATGATTATGCCTAATCCATATTCTCGGACTAGGGACAATGACTATGTCTAATCCATACTTCCGGATAAGTGACATATACTAACTTCTATTCTCTGAGTTTAACTCACTTGTACTCGTAAGAATATACTACCCAATATTCCTCATATTTAATTTAGGTCTACTATTTATCCTAAATTATCAAATATAATCAGGTATGTTCTTTAACACGAATTTCAAGCAACATCAATTAACTCGCACATAAACATATAATTAATACTTCAATCAATACTTGTATTAAAATCATGTTCATGAAAGGGACTATGCACTCACCTGAGAAGGTGGTGACTCGGTACTCGGACAGCGCTTCGTTTACTTTAAAATAATTACTTCGACGAAACCTAGTATTATCACCAATAGATTTTAGTCTATTATTCGCCGAGACTAATTAATAGTCTAGCTATTATTACTATTATATAAGCGTTAAAAAAAATACTTATATAACCCATAATAATAGCCCAAGTATTTATTATATGTTCTTAATAACGTTAATATAATTAAATAAAAACTATATTAAAAATAGCGTAGGCGTAGCTCACTTACAGCGGGGTTTATAGAAAACCAGGCTTTGCTTGGAGCAGTGTTTCCGAGCCGAAAAGCTCTTCTTCTCGGAGCCTTCGAGCACTCCGGGGCTTCCGCCTCGTGCTAGGGAGGTTCCTTAGGCTTTTCGGGGGATTTCGGGGCTAGAGAGAGGTTCTAGAGAGAGAGTAAAGAGAAGAAAGAATGAGAAATGTGTGAAGAAAATGAAGGTGTGAGAGGTGGTATTTATAGGGTGAAAATGGCTGAACTTGGTGCCACATGTCACCATCTAGTGGCAAGACTTGGGGAGAAAGCAATGGACAAGATTGTGCCACATCACCCATTTTCGCACAACACACTTCCGACTTCTAAAATCCGTAACTTTCACATACGACCTCCGTTTTTGACGTTATTTATATCCACGCGTAGGTAAAAATAATATCTACAACTTTCATTTTGACTCCGTCGGCTAATTCTAGACCGATCTTAAATTTAACAGTACGAGGCGTTTAGACTGTTAAATGACCGCGAAGAATTCGTAACTCCTTCATACGGACTCCGTTTTCGTCTGTCTTTTTACCGTTGAGTTACTATTAATGAGATCTTTAACTCTCATTTGTTTCACGTAAGCCAAAAACCGCTCGAACTAAAATTCGAGTTTCGGGCTGTACACTGCTAAGCCGAATCTTAGAAAAATCATAACTTCCTCATACGAAGTCAGATTTGGGCGTCTTTTTATCGATGCTCTTAGTTTAACATATTCTACGACTTTTGTTTAGATTGCTAAGGCTAAAAAGTCTTCTATCGTAAATTCACTATTTACGTCTTCCGGTGCCGTGCTGGTTTTGCCGTAAAACTTCGGCGGGCCATAACTTCTTCGTTATAACTCGGATTTCGGCGTTCTTTATATGTACGGAAACCTTGTGACATATTCTAAAACTTGGTTAAGACTATTCATTCTAAATAATCTTTTGTCGAAAAGTCATTTTTGACCCCAATTGCCTCTAAATTGACTAGCCCGGATTTGCGGGCGTTACAGTTAATAATATTCACATTTAACGAAACTTTTCATATTTTTTTCACAAAATAATTTTAAAAAATATAAACAAACAAAACATCAAAAAATGTATTCAAACAACATATCAAATAATTAGAAAAAAATTATTCAAAAAAACATAAAATAAATATAAATGAACATATTGTAAAAAAACATTAAAAATATATTCCAAAAAATGTCAAATAAAATCTAAAAAATAAAAAATACAAATAAATAAAATAAAATATAAGCGAAAAATATAAAGAATTATATATATATATATATATATATATATATATATATATATATATATATATATATATATATATATATATATATGTTAATTTGAGACCATGTTAATTTTGTGAATCTGTGAGACGCAATATAAAAATAAATTTAAAATGGAAAATAAAAGGAAAATTCAGAAAATTCTTTTTTTAATTATTATTTTCGTTATTTTCTTTACCAAAAAAATAAAAAAAAATAAAAAAAATAAAAAAAAAAAAAAAAAAAAATTCAGTTTTTTTTTGAAAAATACATCAAATATTTTAATAGAATATTATATTGTAAATATTTCAATGTGATTTTTAGAATGTTAGAATATTTTAGTAGATTTGTCAGATATGTAAAATATTATAATATTACATAGATATTTCAAAAAATATTAATTTTTTTATTATTTCTTATTTATTTTATTTATTTTTGTATAAAAAGTCACGAAAATATTATTTTATTTTATTTTTCAAAAATTTTCAATTAATTTTCATTTTAAAAATGTTTTTTATTTACAAAATCAGTGGTTATGATTACGTCTTCCTGTCTCATAAAATATTACGGTCTCATATAAACCTTTTATATATATATATATATATATATATATATATATATATATATATATATATAAAGAAAAACAAAAATATAAAAATAAGGTTAAAATGATCTTTTTAAATGGACTAAAGATGTACAATATAATTTTGTTTAAACCAAAGAAATGCATGTTGTCATATTTTCAAAGATTGGAATGAAAATGCCAATCTAAACCAACCACGGTGACCAAAACTGTAGTTTACTCATGAAAATATAATCATAAGATTAGGACTTTATTTGTAGACCTTGACATTTATGAAGGCCTTTTAAACAAAATTATAAGATCTTGGGGGTATACTTCTAACTCTTCTACCTGTTTTTCTTCTTCCGTCTACGGGGTAGAGAGAGAGAGAGAGAGAGAGAGAGAATGGAAAGGTCATCGGAGGAAGTGACTCCGTCGGAAGCAGCCGTACTGATAACTCCTCGTGCCGATCCCATTCGCGGCGACGATCGGAACGGTAACCGAAACCCTATCAGTACTGCTTCATCATCGCGAGCTGAGTGGCCGACGATCGATGGACCATTGGGGTTGTCGGAGCAAGATTCCGTTGGTTACGCTCGTAAGTTTTTCGGATTTGGATTCATTTTGCTACCAATGCTGTGGGCCGTTAATTGCTACTACTTCTGGCCAGTTCTTCGTAACTCTCGCTCTTTCCCCCGAATCCGCCCCTGTAAGTCGATTTCATTCTCAATTTGGGGGAAATCCTCGTATACTCTAACCGCATTTTGAGTTACTCTCGTTACAATAAATTGAATCTCCTTCATTTTGATTTATCAACATCGTCTGCAATGGCACAAAATTGTCAGGCCAACTGTCTCTATTCCAGATTTACATTTTGAATTTGAAAAAGTATCTTAAGAAATTGTTATACTTCATCTGCAATCGGTTACGCTACTGAATGCTAACTAGGTTTGACATCAAAAACATCAAAATTCAGCTCTTTCTTTGTGACAGATGGAGCAATTTACATTTTTTGTTCTTTTCTAGGGTAAAAAATGAAGTATATTTTCATGAATACATACCTCCATGTTTACTGGGAAATTGAATGGTTAGAAGATTTGAAGTTTATGTTAGAAAGTAAAAACTAGTTTTGTTGATTGTGTAGATGTGGTAGGATCAGCAATAGGAGTGACGATATTTTCAGCCATGCTAGCTTCGTGGGCCCTCACCTTCACCATTGGAGGTGAACGTCTTTTCGGGCATACATGGGATGAACTGGTAATGTATAATGTTGCTGACAGATATGGTTTGACAGGTTGGATTTAGTGATTGGAATTGGAATTGGAATTGTAAAGTCTGGAATGGAATTGGAAAAACACTAGACTCATAACTCATGTTGTTTGAAACTCCAAGAGATATTCTGAATTTTGAATTATTCAACTTCAAGTAGTCTCAGAAGTCACTTAAATACATATATAGCTTGAATTTTTTAGTCATGTCATCAACATTAATACAATGCAACTAAATCATTTATAAAGTAATAAAGTGTATTATACTATTATTCACTTGCAGGGTATTTACTATTTTTGCTATATTTAACGGAAAAGTTGATACGATGACTGGATATTTTTTTTTATAAAAATATAATCAATAAATATGTAAAAGAACTAAAACCTAAGCAAGAGAAATGAAAGTATATGTTATTATTTTGCGACTTCACCCTAAGAGCATGTCCAATGATCCTAAAGCCTAAAGATTTGATTTTTGATTTTTGAGTAGATTCATATTATACAACTATCACATTTATTGAGTAACACCGTTCATATATTTGAATAGAATTACAAGTTGGGGCTAGCCTACGTGGCTAACAAGGTGTCTAACTAGAAGTTTAAAACCATGAGGATTTGGGTTTAATCCTAGGCAAATATTAACCCCATTGTTTAAAAAAAAATCTCGAATAGAGTTGAAGCTGCGGTTAAAGATTTTAGGTCATGTCTATACATTTTTAGTTTGTTTTATATATTAGTTATAATTTGAATGTAATAATTAATATTTACAGTCTTATATATTAAATTATATTATATTAATTAAGACCATTGCACCAGAAAGTTATACCACACTTTTTTTTCCGACCGTTGTATGTGATGGGGGGTGGTACCATTTCAAAAGTGTGATAAGTTGTGATACCTTGCTGATGGTCATTATATTTCCTTCTTAAGAGGGTGTTTGACTTAGTTTTTTAGAAGCTAAAAGTCCTTTTAAGAAAAGATAGAAAGTAAAAGATGTTTGGCAAATGCATTTTAGAAGCTATTTTTGGATTTGGATACAAGTAAAAATGAACTTTTTGGAAAAGTTAGAAAAACCTGATTTTTTGTGACTTTTCCAAAAATGAATTTTGCTCCCTGAAAAGCCAAGCCAAACACCCCCTAATTATCAGGAAATCTAATTTTTTAAACGGAGATATACACATATAAATCTACTCTCTAACTTCTTTTTAATTCCATCTATATCACTCAAGAGATTTGAAAATGAGGACCTCTAACTAGATTGTTACTTCAAAGAATTGTTGGTTATTTTTTTTAATAAATGAATGTTTTTTTATGAAATGTTTTATTCTCCTTCATTTTGCCACATGTTTTTTTTGTTTTTTATTTTATTTTTCTATTTTCCACTTGTTATTTTTTTGAGGTTTTCATTTTTATATTAAAATTTCAGAATTTATGGTTATATATATATATATATATATATATATAAAAGAAAGATTCTCATTCTATTCATGTAATATTACTATTTTATTAATTTGATAATATATTCACATAAATGTTAAAAACTCATTCATTTACTTTTTTTTTTCAACTACTTTATAAAATATTTAATGTTTATATATTAATATTAAACTTTTTATTTTTAATAAACAGATGTAATATACGGGTCTTACATCTAATTAAAGAATAAAGTAATTTACAGTTTTAAGTTAAAAATTATATTTTTGTAACTTATAGGTTTAACTCTAAAAAATAGATTAAGTAGAAGTTGATACTCCTAGTTTTTAATTAAAGAAAATACTATTTTTTAGAATGGCAAATAAATATACATCTCCTCCTAGGATTGAACACATGACTACTTAGTAGTTACAACTTATAAGTAATCGACTTTTATTTAACAAAATGTTAAGGGCAAAAATAGCTACCATCCTTGGAACTTTTTTAAGTTACAAAATAACAGTGGAGTTGCAAATCCCGTTATTATGGATATTTGTCTTATTTACAGCTTTAGAATATTCACACGTTCTAACCACCAACCCAGCAGAGTTGAAATTGATGACGAGTTTCCAATTTGACGTTCTTCGTTCAACATGGTGCAATGAGGCCATCATAAAAATATATGGGATAACCATGGACAATGAAGCCCTCGACAACTTCCAAATATCCTTTTGTTAACTAAAGCTCATTCGTTCCAATCATCCAAGGACATCCACAACTTCCAAATATCCAAGGACAAGTATCCACCTCTTGGTTTTGATTTGACAACATGTGACATCCACAGCCCGAAAAAAAGAAAAAAAAAACTTCTTGTTTATGTTTACTTAAAACAAAATATAGAATATGTTAGTGCGTCGTCCCAAATCATATTTTTTATTGTAAAATGAAATACAAAACATTTTCCAAGAAAAATCTTTTCATTAATATTAAAAACTTTAGATGTCAACACTAAAAACATAACCATAAACTAATCATTTCAGGCTTTAGAATTGTTTATTATACTAATGACTATAAACCAATGTTGCAAAAATCGGCATTAGCGGTTGATTCGTCGTTTGAGGGTTTTGAACCGATTACGATTAAGGTGTTTGATGGAAATTGGTCAAAATCGGTCAAACTCAGGCTTGACGACCCTTTGCGGTCATAGGCGGAAAATATTTAAAAAATTCAAAATTTTAATTTTTAAATATTACACCAAAATTTTTAATTTTCAAAGTTTTAAATCTTTACAATTTTAAGATATTATATTAAAATTTTTAAATTTTCAAATCTTCAAAATTTTCAAATTTGAAATACTTATTTTTTTTGGATATAATAAATTTTTAAATAATTTTATTAAGAATTTAGGATCTCCGATTAATCCCCGCTGAGTCCGATTAATCGCTTAACGTCAGTCGACCACCGAACGATTTTCATAACCTTGCTATAAACTATTTAAATCTCTCAGCAGATTTAAATATCACTATGTGCCTTCGTATCACTACCTGTGATACAAAGAAACTAAGCAAGTCAAACTTGGAAGCATAGTGAACACATAAGATTTTTAACCCACAATAATACAATTATAATCTCTTATTTATATATATATATATATATATATATATATATATATATATATATATATATATTTCGCACCAAACAATTAACCTAATTACTCATTGCTGTTATTCTAACTCCTGATCCTAAAATAATGATTTCAAGGGACATATCCTAAAATAACGAGTAGACAATACTGCTTCAGAGATTTCTTAGCAATATTCGTCAATAAGGCAACAATGAGGGGGATAGAGTACATCGAATGAACGCATAGTTCATTAACAACTACAAATTGCGAGTTTGTCAGTGTTCAATTGGATTGTCTAGAATAGTTTGTGATCATCATCTATATTCTACTATATGACTTGTTCATCAATATAATAGTACTATATTGGTCACAACCTCACACCATTATTTTATCTTTCACAACCTTTCTCTACCTAATACTACGAATGATTTAAGTATGCTATTTAAAGTAGATTAATACTTTATCAACATATGATTCATGTACACATAAAACCAGTCAAGTTATTTTATATAACACATATACGATAATAAACGCAAGTATCAATTCAGCATTGAATACTTTGTATCTATGTGTAAGATGAAAGCAACTATGCACTTACTTGTTAAAGGTGGATGATTAGTGGTTAGGTTAGCACTTCTCCTAATAACTTAACTTTTCCTTTCAAAAGACTTGGATATAAAAACCACTAAGTCTTTGTCTTTGTTATATATTTTTTTCGAACTATAATAACAATAATTTTGATTCCCTAATAATCTCAATGAATACTTTCAGTTTTAGTTGATAAGGAATGACCAGGTAAGATCATATCGAATATAGGATATGTTTGGTAGACATAGTATATTATTTGGAAAATTCACTTTAAACAGCTCACTACATCTAGCTTAGACATCACTCATATAAGTAGATCAATCAGTATTATGATTAGAATCTCTGATAAATCTTATTTATAGGTCCATAATAACAACTATGGATTTTTGGCAAAAGTTCGAGAATTTACGGGCAAAACTTCGACTCTGAAAAATTCTTTTTGTCGGGCTCACTAATGTTTGAAAGACTTACTAAAGTAGCTAGGATCTCAAGAGTATCGTGGCTCGGGGTATTGGAAGGTTTCCAAAGGATTTGGCGTGAAACGAGTGAGAAATAAGCAAGAAATCGACATTATTTATAGGTTGCGAAGGATGGCGCACCGCGTCGTGGCGTCATCTGCATCCATTTGAGGTGCCACATGTCAGGCTCAGCTTGTGCCACATGTCAGGCTCAGATCGTGCCACATCGCTATTATTTGATAAAAATTCATGATTTTCAAAAAACCACAACTCTCGCATACAAACTCTATTTTCGATGTTCTTATATCCCCGGTTCCGTTTGACAAGTACTACAACTTTTCTTTAGATCCCAATAGCTAATATGCATTCTATTTTTAATTTATAGTCTATGAGGGTTACATAATAATAGATTTTGCAAAATTCATAACTTCTTCGTACGAACTCCGTTCTCGACATTCTATATACCGACAAATTCGTGTTTATGAAAACTCTGATTCTCCTTTATATTGTTTTGGCTAAAAAGAAACCGATCTCCATTTCATTTTTTATTACACACATTGTTATGTCATTTTTTGAATGTCATACTGTATATTTCTTATAGAAAATGCATATAAATTGAAATGTTGGCTTTATAAAGGAGTGCTTTACTAAATGGACAATTAGTTTCTGTTTTATATGTTAAATAACTATTATAAATAACAAGCAAACAAAGTTCATTTTAACAATTTATATGCAAATAATATCGAATAAAATTACTATTTAATAAATATTTAAACAAAATCTATGAGTGAAAACATTTTCTGAATTTCAACGTTGGCCAAATAAACTTTAGTTAAAAAGATTCCACTGTCACTTTCTATTTGACCTTTTATTTCAGACATCGTTATCCAAATAGACACACCAAAATCTACATAACTGGAAATTATCAATATCTCCAAACAGATGTAATAAACAAATAAGATATCATCATATCGTAAGTCACATGCCACTTGCTACCTAAATCCAAATTGAAATGCGTGACGTTTCTTTATCTTTCAAACTTTTCAAATTAAAAGTTAATTTTTAGCCATCGACTAGTATATATCAGCTTATGTATATGATTGTAACGTATTAGGCCCATGTAGTAGCTTTTTTGTATAAATATTTCCGGCCATGTAATACTTGTTGTGTATTTTAACTCCTTAATGAGAATTGACTATAAGGATAATGAAAGATTGAAAGTGTAATCTTTATTATTGATTGAACTAATTACAATGGAAGAGATCTTCCGTTTATATAATACAAAGGGTAACTAGATATTGAGATATTTACGGTGCATAAATAAAGGAAAGTATAACAATATTTGACAAGGTAAATATACACGTGAGTTTAAATATACACGTGAGTTTATAACTTATCATGCCCCCGCAAGATGGACGAACCGGAGAGAAGTCCAATCTTGGAAACCAAATAGTGAAACCGTGATCTTGGTAGAGGTTTAGTGAGAGCATCAGCCAATTGGTCGTCGCCAGA